ACCAAGGAATAGGCTGTACTTCGACGATGGAAAAAGCACCTTGATTAATCCATTAACCCAGAGCAACTGCAAGAAGATTCATCTAAGAGAAGCAGGCAAAACATATTTGCCATTCAGGAGGCCAATTCACAGAAGCTATAAAAGGCTTGAAAAGCAGAAAGGTTGCTAGAATCGATAAATTCCGCTCTGAGACTGTTCAAGAAGAAAAACCATTGAGACTGCTTGAATTATAAAGGCTACTAAGTCTTTGAGAAAGTGAACAGGCAGGTGTTGGAAAGGAGATGCCGTCGAATAATCTAAGATTCATGAATTGCAGTGCTTGTTCCTCTCAGACTAAGCACCTCCGACAAGACATTCGCCGTACGCCAGATTGTTGATAAATCGTGCGAGTTCGCTGATTCAGTTTATATGTGATTTGTGGATCTAGAGAAAGCCTATGACTACATCCCGCACAACAGTTTTTGGGCATGCCTGCGAACATATGGGATCGATGACCAGTTCTACGGGCCATCCAATCACTATACGCTGATAGCAAATAGTTGCGTTAAAATAAATGGCTTTGTCTCTAAGCCTTTCAGCGTTCGCACTGGTCTCCGCCAAGGCTGTATTCTGTCCCCTCTTTTGTTTGTGTTGTACATGGACAGAATAATCAGACGCAGAGAGGATCCTCATTTTTATGCCAAACTATGGTCAATAATTATGGGTCATGAATAAAAAAGTCGATTTAAGGTACAAGCGGCTGAAATAAGCTTTCTCAGATGAATCGATGGTTTTTTGCGTCTCGACATTGTCTAAAATTCAGACATTCGAGAGAACCTTGGTGTGCAACTGCTGTTGTAACAGAAGTAAAAAGCTGAGAAGTCACAGCTGAGATCATTTTGGCACGTCTTGCGAACGCTTTAAGAAAAGAAGGGGAAATTGCTATCATTTGCCCAATCTGAAGGTGGACGATCCAGGGAACCACAAAAAATAGCCTGAGTCAATTGTATCGAAGGGCTCTGCTCCAGACTCGGGTCATCTTCTGCCAATACTCTAACACTGGCACAGAAATGGGAGCGTTGGAGACCTGTATGACGAGTCTGCTTCCGTGGCTTGAAAGTGCAAACAATCGTCGAAACTTACTCAGTGAGTAACTGAAGTCATGTAGTTTACACTTTGACTAGAAGTGTACATGCATCTGTTCTAAAAATCAAGACATAATGTACCTGGGATCGCCTCTGGGATAAATCTGATAGAATCGCATGACTAAATCTGTTGGGCATTGTGATCTCGACGCGCATAATTGGCTCTGACAACATCGAACCA